CCATCTTAGACTAACTCAAATATCGCAGATATATAACGACCTGGAGATAATAGAGGACTGGGGTAACAAAAACCTTGTACAGTTCAACGCGCAGAAAACCCAAGCAGCTCTGTTTTCAAAAAAGACCAGCACCGGTGAGCCAAACATCATGCTATCTGGAAGTGCTGTCACATTACAGAGTCAGTTGAACATCTTGGGGGTTACTGCAGAGACCAACATGTCTTGGCACAGTCACGTGGCAGATATTGCTAAAAGGGCCTCCCAAAAGCTGGGGGTGCTATTTCGTACAAGACATCTGTACACACCAAGCCAATTGCTGACACTCTACAAAGCCCAGATTCGACCAACTATGGAGTACTGCTCACATATATGGAGTGCAGCACCCAAACATACCTTAATGCTTTTGAATACCGTGCAAAAACGAGCTATCAAGCTGATCAATGACCCCGCACTTACTCGTAACTTGGATGGTCTCGAACATCGCAGATCTGTGGGCGATTTATCTCTCTTCTACAGGTACTATCACGGAAAATGCTCTGAAGAGTTGGCACGTATGATTCCACCGAGAGTAGCACCTACCAGGCGAACCCGTCAAACAGACGGTAACCATGAATTTACTGTCAAACTAGAGGCACCAAGAACCTCATTATATCAGAATTCATATCTCTGGAGAACAGCATCGCTGTGGAATAAACTCCCTGCGACGGTTTTCCCTGCAGGTTACAACCTGAACCGTTTCAAGACCAACATACACCGACATTTCCGCGCACTTGCCGCTTCTCGAGCGTGATAGGACATTTCCTTGCGAGTGCGCATATCCGTAAAAAAAAAAAAAAAAAGATGAGTTTGTTCAGTTTTGTGATTCTCTGTTATGCTTCAGGTTGCTTTGAAATGATTTCTTCTATAACTTTGTAGCCTAGTCTTATTTGATCTCTTAGTTTGGGGTTGTCGTTGAGTTTCCCGAGTGGTTGCTTTTGCATAGTCTGGTGTGTCCTAATCATTTTGTATTTTTTGTTTACCTTATCTAGCTTAGTTTTTAGCTCAAGGTCGTCTTGATGATATAGTATTAGCGGACTTTCTGTATTTATGATGTCGGTGTCGTGAACATTCTCATTGTTGTTAACTTTGTTCGTGTTAAGGTCTTCTTCGGCATCGCTTTCTTTGCTTGAATTATCTTGTTCTCTTCTTCCATTTCTCAAGAGATTCTTCGCTCTGCACATGACTTTATCTAATTCAGTTTGTGACAGCTTCTTGTTGTTAAGGATAAATCGCCTCTGTGTTGATAAGGTATTAGCTGTTAGGGCATGTGTGGGGTTTGGATTTCTCTATTTCCACACGGTGTCTTTCAGGTTCGCCGTTCCCGTTTTCTCTATTGTGTAATAATGATATAGTGCTCTCTCTTTGTATTCTTCTATAGTCCATTTTACTCTTGTTTGGTTTGCATCTATTGTTTCAGTAGTTGTGGTTTTCCTTGTGTCCTTCGATCGGGGCTCTTTATTTGTACTCTGTGACTTATGGAGTTTTTTCTTTATTCTGGGGCTTGCTTTGGTGTTTGTTTTCGGGGCTGCTGCTTTTGGAGCTGACATCGTTTTCACTTGCTTGGTTTCTTCTAGCATTTGTCTGTAGTTGGTTTTTCCATTTCTTTTTGGGGTTCTCGGGTTTCTTTGGGTCCTGTCTGGTTGCCCAGGCATCCTCCATTCGCAGGGGGGCGCGCTCGATGGGAGGTCCGTGACACCACACGGGTTATTATTATTATTATTATTAATATTACTATTATTATTGAAATTGAAATTTTTTCACAAAATTGTGGTGTAATGTTGCTGTGACGGGCTATGCCAAGTCACTGCAAATACTATTATTATTAAATTGAATTGAAGAATGATCTGACAATATGACATGTTTTTAAGATGACTGATTTCTGAAAGTTTTTGTGTATGTTAGTGTTGAGTCCTAGCTGTTTCAGGTGTGATTTGAATGTATTGGGTGTGAGGCCTGTTACGGGCATAATCAGGGGGATAATAGTGACTTTTTCCTGCTTCCAGAGTCTCTTCATTTCGATTGAAGGTCTGTGTATTTACAGATTTTTTCATTGTACTTTGTCTGGATGTTTTTATCACTGGGAATAGCTACGTCAATTAGGTATGTGATTTTTTCTCTTTTTAACTGAAAAGTGATATCTGGTCTATTGGCGGATATTGTTTCATCTGTCTGAATATTGATATCCCAGTATAGTTTGAAATCCTTGCTTTCGAGTATGGACGATAGTGTGTATTTGTAGTATGGCTCTGTGTTTTCTATTAGTTTGAATGCTGTGGCCAGGGCTTGGTGGATTACTTTTGCTGTTGCATTTTGTCTTGCTGTGTATTCTGAGCCAGCTAGGGACTTGCTTCCACTTGTAATATGCTCAATAGTTTCCTTTTGGAGGTGGCATTTCCTGCATGTATCATCTGCTGTAGCCGGGTCTTTGATGTTATATTTTTGATAATTTCTGGTTGCTCTGACCTTATCTTGGATCGCGAGCAGGAATCCTTCCGTTTTGGGAAAGAGCTGACCATCCTTTAACCAGGTGTATGTAATTTCCTGAGTGTTTGTATTTGCCTTGCGTGTAGTGATGTTACGTCTACAATTCCTCTTCCTCCTTTATTCCTTTTGATTGTTAGCCTTTCCTTGCATGAATTGGGGTGTGACTGTGTTTGGTAAGTTCAGCGCGCATTTCGGACCACTTGATACCGGATGAGTATGTGAAAGTAGGAATGTCGTATGTGTTTAAGGCCTTAGTGAGATTTCTGGAGTTTAATTAACTTTTTAATAGCCTGATGAGTCTATTTCTGAATTTAGTTTTAAGCTCTATTTTGATGTGAGTGTGATTGAGTTTGGTACTTTGATGGAATCCTAGGTATTCATTCCTGAGCATGTTGTCTAGTGTTTCACTATCGACGGTTTGGACACCATGATGTTTTTTCCACTGGCCTTTGTTTAAGTGAAGTACCCTACATTTACTAATCCCAAACTCTATACAGACGTCTGAGGTGAATGTTTCTGTAATTTTAAGGAGGCTTCAACTGTGTTTCCGTGGCCGCGTAGAGTTTGATGTCATCCATATACAGTAAGTGATTTATTTGGTGCTGGTTTTCTCTCTTGTGTCTGAGTTGAAAACCGTGCTTCGTATTCTTAAGTGTACTAAGACAGAGGCAAAACCATAGAGCGGTAAGTGAATCGCCTCTCTGTATTTAGTCGGATTTTGGTTTTCCAGGATTTCATGATTTCTGCAAAAAACTCTTTGAGATTCTTGTTGATTTTGTAGATTTCAAGAACTTTCATCAGCCAGCTATGGGGTAGGGAGTCAAAGGCCTTCTTATAATCTATGTACCCGATGTAAGGTTTCTATTATCTTTTCTAGTTTGTCCCCTGATGACACTATCTATAATCAGCTGCTCCTTATAGCCCTGCCTGTTTTTCCTACATCCCTTCTGTTCTTCTGTTAGTATGTGGTTAATTGTGAGGTGATGTTCGATTTTCTTGCAGACTGTAGCTGTGATGATCTTATATAGCGTTGGAAGACAGGTGATAGTTCTATAGTTTGAGGGATTTTTAGTGTCCAAGTTTTTGGGTTTGATGTAGGTTATGCCTTGGGTTAGAAATCTGGGAAATCTCTGTGGTTCTTGGATGGTTTTGTTAAATTGGTGTGTGAGAGCTTCATGTGTAGCTTTAAACTGTTTATACCAGAAGTTTTGAATGTTGTCTATGCCAGGGCATTTCCAATTGTGTGTGCATTTGATTGTATTTGTGATTTCTTCTGTTGTAAGTATAAAATCTAGTTGTTCTAGTATATATTTGTCTCTTCCAGTAATTGGTTAGTTCTTGTTTGTCTGGTGGTTCTATTAGTCTTGCTTCTTGGCTGGACATGGTTCTTCGGTAGAATTGCTTCTCATTTCTTAGGAAGAGGTTGTTAGTGTCTTTCCTTTCGTTTGATTCTTTGTATCTCCGGAGTCTTGCCGCATATACAGATAATTTTTGCTTATGCGTATCAAGGATTTCTGGCATTGTTTGGGTGGTATTTTGACTTTATTTTCATTGCTCTGTGTGTAACATGTTTTGAGGTATTTCCGTTTGTGAACTGGGTGAGGTGCCCTAGATCTTTCCTGATTTTTACCGATTTTATTTCCCAGTCTTATTTGCCATTTAAAAAAAGGTTTTGTTTTGTTGGGATTTAGTTGTTGCTGTTGCAATTTTTGATTATTCTGTGCGATTGAGGTGATAGCTGCTGAGTAGATTATTGTATGGATATCTTCAATTATATTTGCGTTTGTTATGTACTGTGGTAATACATCTTTGTTGATTGTATCAAGAATTTGTTGTGTGTTCTGCTTGAAGACTATCCGACGAATTGGTTTTCTCATTGTAGGGTCAGAGCCTGACCATTGACTTAGGCGTATCTCCATTTCTGTTTTAAGTTTTTGTAGAAGAGGTGATTCGGGAATATGTTGTGTGGGTGTGGTTAGGCTTGTAAATTAATTGAGACTCTGTGCTGTTTTGTTGCTGGGTTTTTCCTTCTTGTGTAGGGGGGTTGAGAGTCTCTGAGTTCAGGTTCTCATTGGAAAGTGGTTCAATTGGTGCTTCATCTTTCTGTTGACATTGTTCAGTATGCTCGGTGTGTTGGTTACCTTCTGGTGAAATATCATCTGAAAATAATACACAAATCAGACAACTACCACTGCAGATTTTGTGAACAAGCAACAGGAACTACATAACATTTATTCTGTGAATGTCCTGCTCAAGTGCTCACTTCTGCAAAAGGCTGAAGTACCTTGTAGGGGTATGGCTAACACTCCAAGAGGTGGGCACTTTACCACCCAAGAAGAAAAGCCTACAAATCTTGGACACCAACTGGAAGCAGAGTCATGCACAAAATGCTTGAGCGGCTGGAACACGCTCTAACGACTCCAAATGCAATCTACAAACTAAATGACAAGAATAATGTTATAGCAATTTTTTTTTAGTGTGGATGAAATAGCTAAATACGATCTACCAGCTATGCTGCAACTTGTACAGTACCATTCAGGCAGTAGAGGCAAAACCATTTACGTTGGCCATTCTTTGGCTTCTGCGGCTGCCATGATGTTTGCCTCGGACAGACCAGAATTTGCAAAAAGTTTAGTCTCCCTTTTCATATTTTTAGGTCCTGCTTATAAAATGACGCACATGCGAAGCCCTTACCGATTATTTTTTCCATTATTTTATCCTGCTCTGGTAAGAAGTGCAACTTATTGTAGAATCTTTATATAAACTATTGCATGTTTTAGGATATTACTGGTGCACTTAATGTGGTCCAGCTAGTATCCAGAGGACATTCCAGACGTCTCACTGGGCCAACTTGCATGGCTTCGCCTGTAATCATGTTGGGTTGCGTTACCCTTGTCAACATGTTCATTGGACCTTTTACGGAAATCGCACCGGTAAGTAATTGGAATTTTTCTGGCGTAATTCTTGAGTTGAAAACGCTTTTAGGAAACGGTTCCGGTATATTTTAATCAGCTTCCTGGCGGCACGTCCCTGAAAACCCTAACGTTTTTGAGGGAATCTACGCGAGGCAATTTCAGGAAATACGATTACGGGCCTGGCAAAAACACGTTTCTTTACGGCAGCAGGACACCTCCGGAGTATGACATTAAAAAAATCAAAGTGCCTATATTTATTATTTATGCTAGGGGCGATTGGGCTACAACAAAAGAAGTAAGAATAATTTATTGGTTTTTCAAATTCAAATTTCCATGTAGGTATGTATTCTGTAAATGTGCATAATTTTTTTAGGACGCTCTTTATTTATACAAACAATTGCCAGAGTCCATAAGAGCGGGTATTTACGGTGTGGAAAAGTTAAATTTCAACCATAACGATTTTTTCTTTGGAAAAAACGCCGACGAACTAGTTACCAAACCAGTGATGCAAATTATCGAAAAATTTTTAAGAAAGCACCAGGATTACCAACAAAATAGCGTGCAGAATTATAAAATAATTTCGTAATTGTTTAAAAAAAATGTAAATAATTCTATTTTAACAAATGTATGTAAAACATATTTCGTGTGCCTGAATCCTGTCCTGATATTTCCCGTCTGCAAAACACAATTGTAACAGAATTTAAATAACTGTTATTAAATAACATTAAAAGGTATTATTAGGAATTAATTAGTGCATTATGGAGATCTTGTCTCATGTTATCGACGTGCCACGTTTCCTTTTCAAACGTTATTTTTATCGTGAGCAGTTTGGTTATTGAGTGGGATCAAGGTTTAGATTTAGACCGTGGAATGGTAATTTTTTTATTGGTATAAAGGTTTGTTCCGAGAGTAATTGGAAACAGACAAGGAATTGATTTGACCATCCATACTTATTACCGCTATCTGAATGTTTTTCTTTGACTTTTATCTGAGTAATATTCAGCGTAGTATATATGTAGTTATGCCTTCCACGTCACGTACCATTTTTTACACAAACTTTCCAAGACTTACTTCCTTATAAGATTTGTATTCCTGGTACTACCACAAACTTTCCTAAAACTTTCTCTATTTGTGGAGGTAAAAACTTCCCGAATGAGTTCCCCCTCGGTGGGAGCTCTCTATGCGATTGTAGCTCGAGAGTTCATACTTATTGTATCCAGGTGTTCTACATTTCAACTCTAGCTGCTGAGTTTTGATTCTGAATCCTCATTGCTGAATCATTAGAAATCTTCAATTTGACGCAACAGACTTTTGAAGTGCGATCTTCTTCATCAGCAAAGTCTTCCTTTTGAAGGAAATTTTCTCTAGCATCGATCTTAGGTCTGTTTTCACAGAAATCACAAAACAGTCAGAGCGAATTTCATTGGTCGAATATAGTCAGGCAACTGGTTGTTGGCGATTTGCACCAATCAAAAACGCTCTGACTGTGACTGGTTTGTGATTTCTATGGAAACAGACCTATTATGTAAACAAATTGTATTAATGTAGGCTTTCAAATAGGATGGCTTTGGAATTTTCGTTTTATTTTTATAAATTTCAACTTCCCTTCTTTTCATAGCTCCTGCCATAATCGATTCATTGCAAACGTCTTCATCAACAAATACTTCTTCCTCAAAAACTTGATGTTGAATAAAAACTACACCCACCTCATTAAAGATCCAAAACGGATATGTCCTAGTAGAATCAAAATGGCTATGCTTGAAGCTAAATCAGCATCCTCAATCGGATCTCCGGGAGGGACAGTTACAAGCAGAGACGTTAGAGCAATTGATACCAGAGAGGAAATAAGAATAGCAACCTGAAATGTAAAAACAATGAGCCAGCAAGGTAAAATTCACAATACAATCAAGGAAATACAAAGAATGAGGATAGATATCCTTGGAATAAGTGAAATGAGATGGCCAGACACTGGTGATATAAACATCGAGGATTATAGAGTTCTCTTTGCAGGCACTATGAATGGAAGACATGAACACGGTGTGGGTTTTTGTCTTGAGCAAGAAAATAGCGCATCAGTGTGTAAAAGCCCTTATACCCGTATTAGAAAGAATAGCACTCATTCAAAAAAAAGCGAGTCCGGTTGACATGAACATCATACAAATAAACGCCCCTACGCTGGACAAAAAAGATGAAGAAGTGGAAAATATGTACACAACACTCAATAATATACTAAAACAACTGAAGAAGCATGATATCACAATTGTAATGGGCGATTTCAACTCAAAATTGGGAGAAGGTCATACATGAGACGTTATAGGATCACATGGACTAACCCAATTCGATATTTTGTCTAGGAATTTATCACCTTTCTACACAACTCAACTCCCAGTTGTTAACTCACTTGAAGAACTAAAACGTGAATGTCTTAAGCTGGAGACCAAGAAATATAGAGTTGAATATTATGTTCCACCTTCCAGAAAACGTCAACAATTTGTAGAACCCGATTTTGCCTTTGCTGGGTTCGACCAACCTTACTCCGATTTGACGAATTCTGTCTTGAACAACGATGCAGATTCCTTTGGCATTGACAGAGTAGATTTACCCAACAATGGTCCTCAAAGGTCAAGGCCACCAAGTAATTCACCCAATTTAATTTGTTGAAATTGTCAGAAATCCGGTCATTTAAACAGAGATTGTCCTAAGCCTAGGAAAACCCATTGCTATCGATGTGGTAACCCTAACGTCACAGTTAGGAATTGTCCTAAATGTGGTAACTCGGAAAACGGTCCCAGGGGAGATCATTAGGTCGCGAGATTTCTTTCCTACACGCCCCAGCGACCAATAACCTTGATGATTTTGGTAATGGGCTCCTTCTTGACTACATTGTATCACATGCGCAAGGTGATCAGCGTCCATACCTTGAAATTAAAATATTGGGATATCCTTTGTTAGGTCTACTTGACTCAGGTGCTAGTCGTAATCTGGTTGAGTTGCCTGGATATGACCCTCTTTTGAGCTCAGGTTTGAAGTTGGTAAAACAACAAAATTCTTGCACTGTGGCTAATGGCCAAACTTGCACAAGTATAGGTTACATTCACATGGCCATTTTCGCGACTATCACTTAAGGGATATTTAATCTAACTCAAGATTCACATTCAAAGCTTCACTAGGATTAAATATCCCTTAAGTTATAGCAATGCAAATGGCCGTCAGACACCCATAACCTTAATGGACAAAACTCACATTATTGATGTCATCGTACTTCCTGAACTTTCACATAAAATTATTCTGGGAATAGAAGATGTTTGGCATTTTTCTGAGTCTGCTGGTGAGACTGATATTTGGTCTATCTAAGATAGGGACAATTTGACTTCGTCAGAAAGATCTGCTTTAGACACCCTGGTAGAGCAGAAAATTGCAGAGATGGGTACTGGACTCGGTTGCTGCAAGGTAGCTGAGCATGAAATCATTATAGATCCTGGTACAAGACCCATGGCCCCATTTATAAGCAAATGGATAGTGTCTGACGAACCGTCCTTACAAAAAATTTGCAGTATACTAGTGAGACACCATTCGATGGTAATGATTATTGGGAATTTCGGGTTGAATTGTTGCTTGAACGAGTTGAAGCCCTGGATGTTGTTTCAGAGCCTGTGGAAACGCAGCAAGTATTACCACATTACAAGAGGACTGATGCAAAGGCTCGAAACATAACCGTCCAGTGTCTGGCATACAACATGTTAGAAACAATAAAAGATAAAAAATCAGCGAAGGAAATCATGGAGTTTCTAGAACAGACATTTGTTAAAACGAGAATATCTATGCAGGTACAACTGCAGAGGAAGCTAAGGTCAATGTTGATGGAAAAATCCAGGTAAATACATTCTTTACTGATTTTGATCAAGCAGTAAGTCAAATAAAAGCTGCTAGTGGAAATGTACATGATAAAGAGTTAATATTAATGAAGTATTAAGAAGGTTTGGAATGGCTCCTGGCCTATCTACTCAATATAATACGTATATTTGCGGCCAAGATTAGAGTGACAGAACAAGAGAGATCAGTGAGATTTCCCTGCCCGTACTTAGCGCTATCTCACTCAGGGTTAGAATGAGAGATCTGGGAGAACCGATAGATTTTCTTCCCTCACTAGCGCTATCTTATTCTGAAATCATTCAAATAACGCAAAGCCCATTCCAAACCTTCTTACTAGGTACTTCATTCGTTAATATGCCAGCTGTTGTTAGCAATGCCAGACAGTTTCCAAGCAGTTTTAACAGTTATTGATGTAATGTTTTGCTAGGATGAATCAAAGGTGAGCCTGGACTTTGTCAAAAATGAACTTTTGATGGAAGAAATTCAAAAAACCAAAAGTGTGGAACTTGAATCAAACGAAGCTGCGTTTGCATCCAGTCTATAACTGGAAATAAGAGCTTCAACAAGAATTTTGGGAATGCCTCAGGAAATGCAAATAAAGATAAATATTTTCCATTTAAATGTCATTTGTGAGATGAGGTTGGACATAGAAGATTCTGTCCTAAAAATAGGCATTACCAAGTAAATTACAGAAGAAAGTACGCAGATATGGTTGAAAGTAACAATCAGCCTAATTAAAGCAATGGTAATGATGAAAAAGAGGATGAAATATTATTTTATCTACAAGCGTTTGGTTATGACGTTTTTACATAACCATTTTTCTAGTAATTGAGTTATGTTATGAGACTCATAATACAATTAGTGGTGTTATAGACTTGGTTATGAATTCATAACACAACTAGTGGTGTTATGGACGAGGTTATGAATCTATAACACAACTATTTTTGGTGATTTGACAAATGTCAAAGGTAAACCTGTAAAGGTAAAATGAAGGTAGAAAACTACTAATAAACGAAATTAATTGAAAAAACATTCTTATTTCTCGCTTTGTAGATAAAAAGTTGTACATCACACGTGCGTTTAAACATGACTACAAAACTCGTGTGATTAGAACGACTCGGTCTACGACCTCGTCGTTTTAATCTTTCACACTCGTTATTGTAATCATGTTCATAAACGCACTTGTAATGTGAATAATGTAATACAACGTTTTATCTACAATCACACGTACGTACACATGGCGGATGGAAGAGCTCCTCTGTTGCTGAAAGTTATATCGAGGATTTCATTTCCAATAAGCTTAGTATTGCAAACAAAATTCAAGGGGAAAATGTCCCTTACAAGAGGAGACACCTTATATTCCTGTTCCTGGTAATCTGCCAAAACACCCATAAACGTGCGTTCCCAAGCTGATGGAAATTATCACCTTTTTACCAACAGTAACGAAGTTATAGGAGACAAATCAAACAACGGACTATCTATTAATATAAATGTTAATGTTATTATCAATAAATAAAATAAAAATTTCGTATTTCTTGATTTCATTATTCCACTAGTGGAATAAAGTTATTTTATTCCACTAGTGGATAAAGTATCACTTTAGACGCTTCATATGAGTGGATAAAACTGCCATTTTTTGATGATTGTGGATAAAAATTTATAAATCCTGCTTTAAAGAAGACTCATTCCCTCCAAAAAATACCAGGCAGTTTTTTCAGTTCTTGTACGCTGCTCGTGTGTTATGATTTGTCAGTTGTTGGATAAAACATTGTATGATACCTACTCGTGTGTTATGTTTTCTAAGTCACTCGAAAGATTATACCACTCGGCCTCACGGCCTCGTATTTTTCTCACGTGATTTATTTTCAACATAACACACTAGTACCATAAATAACTATTTGACTGGCGAGACGCATGAGAAATTTCATAAAAGTTATGAACCAAGTTCAAATAAAATTAGTTTTGTAGTGAACAGTGGGGCCACACATCATTTGGTAAAACTAGAGTACAAGGATAATGTAATCAATGAAAAAAACAAAAACCATGAGATGAGCATTGCTAGAAAGGACCAAACAAAATCTATCAGTGATGTAAGAGGACGATTTGTATGACAAACACAAATACACAAAGAAGAATCCAAAATGTTTGGCTGTGCAAAGAATTATCACAAAATTTATTGTCCGTCAGAAAACTGGAAGAAGCTGGAATGAGAGTTGTATTTGGAAAGGGAGAAGTAATTGTATGGAAGAAAAACGAGATAGTTCTACAAAGGAAAAGAGATGGGAATTTATATATAGTAGATTTTCGAATATCTCCAGAACCCAAGACAGCAATTGTGAACCTTACTGTAAATGAAAGTAAATTGTTGATGCACACACTTTTGCGTTTGTTATCTCCTGGAAAACAAGAGCCAAGTTACAGAGAAGCTAGCAGAATATTTGAGGCGAGTCAAAGCAAAATTTAATGATAAAATAGACAGAATAAGGTTGGATAATGGTGGCGAATATGTTTCTCAAAAATTAAAAGACTTGTGTAACAATGAAGTAATTCATTTGCTGTTCCAAGAAATCCAGAACAAAATGGGATAGCTGAGAGGCTAAATCGGAGAATAATGGAAAATGCCTTCTAGTTGAATCTAAATTAGGCAAAGAAATGCGGGACCTCAGTTTTCTTATTGAACAGAACAGAAACTTCAACCCTGGCCAATCAGAAACTGCCGGCTGATGTATGGTATGGATATAAACCAAACATCGATAAGATAAAGTTGTTTGGTTGCGAAGCTCACAAACTAATTCCTAAAGAGGAGAAAAGAGTCAAAGCTAAACAAAAGAAGCCAAAAAATGATTATTATTGGCTATACTGAAAATGGATATACCCTATGGAACCCATTAGAAAAGAAAGTAGTATCCGCAAGAAATGTTATTTTTAATGAATTGAGAACTAAGGACGATAGAGTATCAATGGAACAAGACATTATATGGGGGAAAACAAGAGTTTACTGAATATTCAAGTGAAGAAGAAGATGAAAGTAAAACTGTACAGGACCTAAGAAATAGAAACCCCAGTAGAAGTGAGAGAATTAGAAAAATACCGACACACTTACAAGACTACCAATTGAATGACGACGATGAAGTTCCACAGAATTATAAAGATGCAGTGAAAGATAGTGAATGGAGAAAAGCTGTAGAAGAGGGGTTAAATTTTCATAGGTCACTTGAGCCTGGGAACTTTTTCGATACCGTGGGGAAATCGGCGGTGCCTTTGAGAGTAGGCCAAACCCTAAAACCAGTAAAATTCAGCGCAAAATCAGCAAAACTAGCTGAAACCAGCACAAAACCAGCTTGAAGCCAGTGAAAACCAGACAGCTCGAAACCAGTGAAAACCAGACAGCTCGAAACCAGTGAAAACCAGTGAAACTCAGTACAAAACTAGCTTAACCAGTATACGTTGGCTTTTCGTTCTTGGAATTATCGAAATGTTTTCCACTGATTAAGCTGGGTTTGTGCTGAATTTTGAATTTCACTGGTTTCGAACTGGTTTTCACTGAAAGAAGATGAAACGTGTGGAAGTTTCTAAGGACATGGAAATAATCTACTCAAAGTGGGTGTTTAGAGAAAAAGAAGTGATGAAGAAGGCTAGGGTATTTCAAGGAACATACTTACCTATCTATTGATGTATGTTGACGATATTATTGCTTTTTCAAAAGACAAACATGCTCTGGAGTTTATCAAAACGAGTTTAACTAAAAGATCTAAAGTTAAAGAATACAATAACAAGAAGTTGACATTTTTAGGTTTCTAGATAGAAAAGGTAAACAATGAGCTCTACATAAGTCAAACAAGTTTGATTAGGAAAACTTTCAATATATTCAATAAGTTGTAAGTCTTCAGAAATTCCATTACAACCAAAAATTCAATCAGTTATAAGCTCCATTGTTGAACCAAAGGATGAAAAGTTTGCTTATAAAGAGCTTATTAGTTGTCTTATGTACCGGCTGTGTTGTTTTTGAAGATATCAAGGTAAAAAAAAAAGAAAATGTAGGGTTAGTAGCCAAGTCTTTTTCCAAGTTACACATAAAACAAAAGATTATCAATTTTTTGACATATAAGCCTACATTATATTTTTTTGAATAGAACACCCTGTACATTATATGTATGTTCGATAGAATATCTTATTCTGATTACAATGATATAACACACTTTGTATTTTGGTCCACTCGGTTTTGACAAATCGGCAAAAATATATGAAATTTTTATATACACTCTCAATAATTTTCGTCCCAAATATCAGACCCCCTTCTAATAAGTTTCACTTAAAAAGTTTCATATTTTTGGCGATTTGTCAAAAATGAGTGGACCAAAATATGAAGTGTGTTATATCATTATAATCAGAATAAGATATTCTATCGAAAACACATATAATATATAGGGTGTTCCATTTAAAAAAATATAATGTACCTAGGCTTATATGTCAAAAAATTGATAGTGTTTTGACATATGTGTAACTTGAAAAAAAACTAGGCTACTAACCCTACATTCTGTTTTTTTGTTCACCTTGATAAATTTGAAAACAAAAAAGTGACAGGTAATCAAAATGATATCAAAAATAAAAAAACACCCGGTACATAATGCTGGGCACTAAGCCATCAGATTTGAGTTTCACTATTTCATATTTTAGCAAATTTCAAAACAATTAGGTACTCAGAAAGCCAATGGACCTATTTAAAAAATGTTTTAAGATACTTGAAATCAATTGAAAACTACCTACGGTCTGAAATATGAAGGGAGTGAAACATCAAACTTAAAAGTGTTTTCGTATGTAGACTCAGATTTTGCAAGTGACCTTACCGATCGGAAAAGAGTTAAGTACAGGATTTTGAATAAAAATTAATGATAATATTGTTTATTGGAAATCAAGAAAGCTGGCAATGGACGCCATACTGGGAATAATGCCTCATCATCTCTTTCAGGAGGCACGGGACCGGGAGGTTGGTCCACAAACTTCTTCATCAACAACTACTTCAATCTAGAGAAAACTTTCTCCAACTATTCTATTGAATATCATGAATGAGATTCCAATACATAATCTAATTCGTCAAAAACGAAAGATTTTCGGATTCTCGTTTGGTCTGAGTTAATTTTCATCTCATACGACTCCTTTTGCAAGAAATTCACTTCATTAGCCTTCAGAAGGAAATTTTTTCTAACGAATAATTAATTGCAATTTTATATGTAAAGCTACAGTTGAAGATAGTCTGGGCCATAGCCTTTATCAAATTTCAGCTATATTTTTCAAACAAATTCCAACAAAACTCCAAGGCTTTATAACGATGGAATTTAAAATTTGCTTGTCTATTTCAAAAACCATTTAAGTTCCTGACCTGGTGTATAAAATGTGGTGCAAGCACACGCCACAATTTTTATTTTATCCAATTTGATTGCGATTAGTCAAGGTCTCGAGCGAGCCTAGACCATGGTAACATTTACTCTGTTATCAAATGGATGCCCACCGTTTAATGTGAAACATGATCTGTGGCGTGGTGGGTACCACCACGGGGGTGGTACTATGTTTGGTGCTTATTTTTAAGGGTGCGCAGGGCGTCGGCGAAGAAAACAACGTTTGTCCCACTTTCGAGGACTATTACACGATCAAAAACAATTCGAATTGCTGGTACGATCTCGGTGCTGATTTTGTGGCGGTAAGTGATCTTTTTTCTCATAACTTATTCAATCGAATAATCAAATTTGGATTATGTAAGGGAGATCTCTATTTAAAAAAAAAAACTGCAGTTCGTGAATGTCCAAAAGTAATTAATTCAATGCCCTCTGTCACTTGCAGGCTTTATTTCGCAGAAGTAGGTAGTTTATTTCGAAATGTAACAGCATTGAGTTTCCTCCTACACATCCAGGAAATAATTTCAATGGAAAAGATGACTATTTATTTTTGTTGAAATGATGCTTATTAAATAATGGACAAGAAAATACAAAAATTTGTTGATTACAAGGTTTTTCTATACGAGTGCAAAGAAACCAAATAATTTTTAAACATCAAACTCAAATTTATTGTGACATGGCAGCAGTTCGAGCCACTTATTCCGGGATCGCCATGTCAGTTCCATCCATCAACAAACATATTGAAGAAGATTTTGAAAGTCTTTGTTTCATAGGGCATGCTGATGATTCTAATGATAAAAACTTTGATCTTTGAATAGTGTTGTCTTAGAAATTTTGTTCGCGTAGCTTCAATCCCTCAGCTACACCGCTAGATTTCCATCCTCCGCTTCAGCAAATCTGTGTGAAAATTGAAAAAAGAAACGAGAAATTAATTCTGGTTCAGTATCGTTGAGTCTATCAACAGCTCCATCTGATGTTTCACATTCTTCATATTCTTCTTTAGTTTCTGTTTTTCTATTATCACTCTCTTCTTCTTCTTTCTTTGCCTTGCCATTTTTGGGTTTGCGTCGTCATATTAGCTTTCTTCAATTTTTCTTTTAGGATGTTTTTAGTCTTGGGAATGCCCAGTTACAATGTCATGAAGATCATTCTTCAATGCTTAAAATAGTGTCTTCATGACGAAACGGAGTTTTTTCGTAGGATCTTAAATGTTTTCGAAAACTGTAGTAGAAAAACATACTAACTTTTAGGTTTTTACTTAAATATAGTGCATAAATTGTTTCTGATTTTAATTTCAGCCAGAAATAATTCATCATTTAGGGTATCCAGTGCAAACTTACAGAATAGTAACCAGAGATGGGTACATCCTCACTCTGTTCAGGATACCAAATGACAGCCAGAGAAATCCGCATGCCAAAAAGCATCCAGTTTATTTGCAACATGGATTAGTGGCTACTTGTAATAATTTTTTGGCTTTACAGAAAGACTCTTTGGGTAAGTATTTCTGTGGAATTTGGGGAATCAATTTGGAAAAGATAGGATTGTTATACCTTAAGAAAACGATCAATTATTATTACAATTAACCTTGCAAAAAATTAGAACAAAAATCTGTAAAAGCCGTTTAACCATATTTTATACTAAGGTCATTGATTATTAACTTGTAACGTGAGTTTTATTCAACTGTACATAATAAGATATATTTACGAATTTGAAAGGTATCTATATAGAATAATCACTAGGTATTTTAAAAATTTGCATTAAAATTACTCTCCAACATTTGACCACAAATTTCCTGAGGAAAAATTTTATTGCCTTTGTTGTTAATTCAATGACACAGTGATAATTGATTGTAATTTTTTGGTTTTCACATTGCAGCGTACAATTTACTTTCTAAAAAATTTGCATTCAACAGCTTCCTTAACAATAACAATAAGTTTTTCCATTACAAATATACATTTCCCAAAACAATTTATGTCCAAAAAGCTCTATTTTTCATTCGCATTTTCCACTTTTCAGCATTCGTTTTGTGGGAAGCCGGTTATGACGTTTGGCTGGGAAATTATAGAGGCACTTTTCCCTCGGCATATCACGTTAATATGACTACTAGAGATCAAGAGTTTTGGGCAACAAGGTAAAATTTTATTTTAAATTTAAGGCCGTTTTACAGCTTGCAATTCTATCTGCAATATGCAAGAAACTTGAACGAGGGCATGCGCAAAAGTGAGTCAACTGATTGGTTTCTGCAAGATTCTTGAAACTTGAAAGGCATTGCATGCAATCGGTTTGGTGCCATTTTTCTTGAAGGTTTTCGTGCAAGCTGGGGAATTTTTAGCAATTATGATGCTTAAAGTTGCTGCCATTGCTTTCTTCTTTTTATATCGACTTATATAATCACTTTTTATTTTTGGAAAATGCAAACAGGAACAACACAACATTAAAAACAAAAAAGTATGGTTAAGCAGGTTAGAGAAAGAAACAAATCAAATTGCAAGGTGTAAAACGACGTGCAAGAAATCTTGAATACAATTTTTTTGCATGCAAAAAATTGCATTCAAGATTTCTTGCAAGCTGTAAAACGGCCTTTAGTATTTCGACATAATCTAATGGCGTTTCCGATTGGTAGATCTAGTGCGGAACTAGTGCAATTTTTTCTATTTCTGTCTTTTTCTTCTACGGGTCGATTAAAAGGATGCAAATACACTCGGTGCGCACTGAATCTACCAATCGGAAACGCCATAGGTAATAATCAATATCGATATCGGTTTTGTTGTTGCTAGACGTTTTTTTTTTTTTTTTTGATGATGAATCAGTGGCGAAAAATCAGAATCTCCAAAATCATTTATATCGATCGTTACGCCCCAAATTTAATTCATCTAGGATTTCATAGTTGGATGCAATGTCGGATGTAAGAAAAATTGACACCTGTCGAAGGGTTTTTTTTTATTGACCTTGAGAAAAACTTAGATTTGACAGCTAAATGTCCAATCAGCTCAAAGTCATCTGTCAACTATTATTATTTTTACAGTAAATAGTAAATGGCAATCTATGGTCCATTAGACGTTAAGCTACATCCTCAATCAATCTGGTAGCGAAGTGGCACTTCGGCACGCGTGCTGGGAAATTGATGCCCATCCTCAATGCTGTCAATTTTCAGTCTGCTGTGCGTGTAGTACGTGGTACGACCACGAACCGTGCGTTCGGTATTTTGATCTGAGTTCTCCAAGCATAAATTTACCGTTCGTTTATTTAAAAAGTGTACTCGGTGCAGGTCATTGGTACCTACATAAAGTCTGTTTTTTTTTTAAGATAATTCCCCAAGTCAAAAATTTAGTAACTATGTTAGCAACACAAGCCTTTTCTACATAAAAAATTTGAAAGCATTGACAATTTTACATTGTACTGCCAACATAATGTCATTTTGACCTTTATCTTTAAAAAAAAAAAACAGACTTTAGTTCATTGTACCCAATTGACCTTTTGTTTGGACGCCATATTGCGGTGCGCGAACATAGTTGCCAAAAGTAGAAAAAAAAAATTACTAGCGTACTTTCAACATTAAAAACAAAAGTTACTGAATAAATTACATTCAAAACTTAAATTTGCCGCCTATTACGAATGTTTTTGAAAAAAAAGGCCATCAATTTTAGCCTGTATTGAGCAAAATAGAAATAATAAAATATCCACCTATTTACTTTCATTAATCAGAGAGAGAAAGTAAACAAACAAAAAGGATAGCGAGGATCAATCATTTAGTTAATTTTGTTTTTAATGTTGACAGCCCGCTAGTATTTTTTGTTTTTTTCTTTGGGCAACTATGTTCGCGCACCCCAATATGGCGTCCAAACAAAAGGTCAATTGTACCGTACTGCGCATGACACAAGTCGGCACACATCGAAAAAGCTTGCAGCTTGCAAGCTTGCACTTCGGAGTCGGCTTGCATGCTAGCACGGAATTGAATTGAGGATGCTAACGTTAAACAACGAGAATGGGCCTTTAAAAGTGGCGTCACTTTCATTGAATGTAATGGTTCATTTACATTCACTTCAAAGTCCAATTTGTCTTGAAATTGACGTGCTTGCACTGCTTGCCATATGGCGACACACAGACCCATTTACATTGAAATAAATTTGAAGTTTACTTCGAAGTGCACTTTAAATTTGGGCGAGCTGCTCCTTATCGTTGCTCTTCAATTGGACAATTTTTGACAGCTGTCAATATCAAATTTGACACTTATTTGTTTAATTGGCAATTTCGACTACCGATGAGGGCGCTGGTGTTTGTAAACAAATATAGCAGAAAACGAGTAATATTTTGACGTTCAGCATTGTATTTATATACCTATATTGATTTATATGCATTCGTATTTCTTTCCCTAATTTTCTCGTTGTTCTCGTAGTTTTTTCGGTGGTTTTTTACTATATTTTTTAAATTTTGAACGTTGTGACTTTCTTTTGTGCATTTCGTATCCATACAACGCGAAATGTGGTAAATGGAGGCCTGTCTTTGAGTTTGGCCACAGTTTTTCTTCGATCTATCACCTCTTCTTGTCCCAGTACATTCAAAATTTTCACGCGATCACTATTATATAGTTCTGTCTGCATCTTTTCGGGAATGGCATTCGTATACACAGCAGCTTGTGTTGTGCTGGGACTTTGAGGCAGATGCTATCGAATTCCTGTAATAAGCACCTCTCAGAATCACAATAAAAACTTTCCCTTGTTTATTTCCCACTTTTCGACACAAAACATTTCGTAATTTAAATTAGGAACGAACAGAAAACATCGAAAAAGCAAGAAAATATTCCAATACGGTATGTAAACAAACGATCTATCACTCGTTAAGTTAGTTGCAAATCTTTCCGCCAGGTGCCGCATTGATTTTTGAAATCGCCAATGAGCTTGTTAAAAAATTGTCTTTTGTCTAATATTGTTGTTTTGACAATACAACGAATTAATTTCCCTTGCATCATTTTTAAGGGAAAAAAGTCGTCGCTCCTAAATTAGGCAATTTTCGCTAGCTGTCAAAATAAAATTTGATACCTAGTAAGATGTCCAAAGTTTGTAAAAAAATAATTTCTGTCAAATGTTATAATTTTGACAATTAGGCAAAGCGCACATTGGAGACACGCGACGCGACCCACGCAGGGCAGCACAAACAACACAGTGCACGAAAGTCGTGAGCTAGGCGGGCTAACGCAAATTGAATCAGTTCTTCCTGCATTTTTCCGATTTGACAAATTTGACACTGAGCGACGCCTGTGGACGCATGTTTTGATTGGCGCATTCGTGGCCTTCCCTGTGCTGCGTCTATTGAGACGCAGTACAGGGAAGTCCGCATATTGATGCGGACGTGCAATGCTCGCTCTACAAAAACGAGGCGTGTGCTGCTTTGCTTGGGTTGCGTCGAATGTGTCTCAATGTGCGCCTTCCTTTAGAGACGATTTAATGACCATTAAGATTCAAATTTGAGTCATTTTCATGGATAAAAATTCGTTCCCACTTAATCAGGCAATTTTTGACAGATTTCAAAGTCAAATTTGATAGATCGGCGCTCAATGAGCTTGTAATAAAATTATTTTCGGTTAAATGTTATTAATTTGGCGATTAGACTAGATACGATTCAATGTCCATTAGGCTTCAAGTTTGTGTCATTTCCATCAATAAAAATTCGTTCCTCTTAAATTAGGCTCTCCAAACCACGTGATTTTTCAATATGGCGAATGAGGAAAATTTGACGTTTGTTTGTTTATCTTGAGATTATTTGGAATATTTTCGAGCTAACTACAGGTTATTTTGTTAAAATATGCTTTCTAAGATGCAGAGTGAATATTCAAAGACTTAAATGCAGGAAAATCGGGATGTGGGCGAACGATAAGTTTGAAAAAATGTCTAGTTGACATTTGTTTACATTTTGACCTAGTTTTTACAGCAATGAGCAAATGAAGGCCTACAAAAGCTTAGATTCTTATAGTATAACCATTATGAAATGAAAAATTTGTTGAAAATCTGTGCTCTAATTATTTTTTTTGAACGCCCTCTTGAAAGTGCTGCCCTCTATCAACAGGTCATGATAACTTCCTATGTGCCTACAGAAATCTGTATTTTTTTAAAATTGACGTATGAAATTGAAATTGAACCAATAGAAACATGACAATATCCTTGCGTCATGACATCATTTTCATTATTGACCTAGGTATTTTTTCATTATTTTCATTATTCACCTAGGGAGAGAAATTCAATTTTTTCCTAGAAAAATAGATTGAATAATGACTATTTCTCAGGTTAGTAGTAAAAAAAATAATTTTTATATTTTTATGCCTAGTTCTGGTACACTATAACAAAGACACCGCACGCCGGCAAAAAAACTTGAAAATTGTTGGCGATGCCGCTAGGCTTTGTCACTTGCCGACAAAGCTGAGCCGCTCTTGTTGACAGTGTGAGATATTCTCTTTAGAAGTGGACAAAAGTATAAAATTACACAGATAATTGAATAAAAATCAATTTCAAATTTGAATTTTTAATAAAGGAATAATAGTCCCATTCAAATATTTATATTTGATTTATTTCAATAGTTTAAAACGGAATTTTAAGGATTACCTACTATATGAATTTTGCCCATTTATTTAACGTATTAACTCCACTGTATTCTAGAGGTAAATCAGCTAGAATTTCGGGGCAATGGCGTTCGTCATTTCAGTTTTTATAGAAATATCTGGAGTATGTTTATTCTTTATTAACCAATTTGTTTTCATTTGTCATGATAATAATATTTAGACGCCTATGGATTCCCACGTGACTTCAAAGAGATCAACTGAGCCGCCTTTTTTATGAAATTTCAATTAATAATGGTTAAACTTTACAAGTATTTCGAGTATGGCTTCATTTTAGATGCAGGAACAGTGGTACTGAATATTTTTTACGTTTTAATTGAAAAATTTGAAAGGTTGGGCACTGAAAACAACCTGACATCATCCTTGTTGTAACGCCTTCTAAAATTAACTACAAGACACCTTTGTGGCATTTTTAATTAGAAAAAAGCCTTATGAAGTCAATAAAATAAAAAAATAAATAGGGTTTAGTCACAAAACATACACACAATGCACTTTGCAAAGCTTTAAATTCCATACTGTCA